CAAGGCGGAATGTCTTCTGTACTGTAATGATCTACCCATCCGGCAGGACATCATAGATGTAATCATTAATATGATTCATAGCATGTGTCCACCTTTACTTTGGAGTGTTTGCTGTGGACTCGGGAACACCCTATATTGCACACGATATTGCACTTCCGGTTTAAGGGCGAGTATTTTAGTTTCCAATCTGTACCTTGTTGTGTTAGTACAGATTCACTGCCAGGTTCTTGTACTTACTGAAGTCCTCATGTCCGTTTTTGCCTTCGAATGTGTTCTTTTTGTTTGGATCTTGCTTCAGCTCGGCCCACTTATATTAGTTGTGTGGCTTAATTTGTCTTTTTTGGGAGACCGAGAGCGATTTTTCGTTCTCTGAGAAGCCTGTGGGTTGACCGTTTTCTCTGTCCATGACAGACTATTGGTTCCGTCAAGCACCTTGTCTGCTTGATCATTTTTCTGCGTAGACGCTTCGGCGAGGGATGCTACTTCTCCGTACTTTAAGCTACCTCCCTCAAGTTCAGGCATCGCTAGTTTCTCCTCCTGAGGAGAAATCGAGGAAATTTCTTCAACTCCTCTATCGCCTCTTAGATTATTTACCACCTTCTCGTGGTTCGTGAATTTGTTAAGAAGGGTAAAATATGATATGTAAGCCTCATCTTTATAAGTCGTATCCCTTAAATTTTTAGGACTTTTCGTTCGTTTGGCAGGAGGACTTTTCGAAAGACGTCTAGACCGTTTTTTGTAGTTGTGATGACTTTTTTTCTATCGCCACTACAACTAATCTCCTGAGGTATCCCTTCAAAGTGTATGCGCCCCAAGAACGATTGGATGTGAGGAAGTCTTTTTTTCTAATCGGGCCTTAGACCCGTTGAATGGTCCTATTCAGTCGACTGAACTTTCTTTGTATTCTTTATATTCTTGAGATTTTTATGTGCAAATAAGGGATTTCAAAGTCGTAAACTTATTTCAATCCACAAAACTGACATACATTACTCCTATAGAAACGTCATGGTTGGCACTTGTAATTGGTGTCTCATACACTGGCGAATAACGTACATTATGTCCGCCCGTCTGTGTTAAACACTCAAACCAGAGCTGCCTTTTCTGAGGTTTGATATATAGGATGACATCTAGCTCATCCATGTGTTGATTTCCATATTTATTGC